GTAAAAATATTAAAAGATTATGCAAAACTGCTTCACATGCTACTGTCTTTTACAGCTTCTTATTAAGAATTTAATTCATTTTAATTTAGAAATTGAAAACAAGTTCATCATAGAAGAGCTGCATTCCAGTAAATGTCTGTATGAATTTATTTTTAAGTAACTGATAGATTTCGACACAAAAATGATGCCACCGCTCAGATCCTCAGCAACTCTCGAGCAACATCTTTTGCAGCTTAAAAATCTGATTGGATGAGCCACTTTTTAATGCAGCTGATAAATAAACTGTATTTGTGGGCGGATAAATGATTGCTATTCTTATCATTAACCCTGTAAAACCTGACATGAAATAACAGTCAAAAAAAGTTCATTATAAAACAGATAGTTCCGGTCCTTGATTCTGATTGGTTGAGCCGCGTTCAAAGCTGTTGTAAATTGCTCTACAAACATACACCTTTGTTTACTTCTGTGTGTTGCTCGGCAACCACTTTGTTGGAACCACAAATGTTTCTGAGGAACTACATTGTTTGGTGGAAGAATGCTGTTTTTATTTATATCATTACACTTTATTTGTGAAACCTTACTACGTATATGGAATAACCATGCAATAAACCCTGTGAAGCCGTGGTTTACAGTGAATATATAACAGCTAATAAATTCACTGTTAACCACGGCTTCTTGGGGCTTATTGCTTTATCGAACCGATAGACTAACTAGCTAAATAAATACATGTTTGCATAACATTGGTTATCTTTTACCATTGTTACATCATTTCATTCAAGCAATAAACCATTCAAGCCATGGCCTTGCAGTACTCTGATTTGATGTTACATTGATGATTGTTATTAGCCGTATAGCATCATATGGGTGTGTAAAGAGCGGGATGTTGATGAGCTGGGTGTTTTGTAGGTGGTGTCTCAGACTATCAGTCTGGTGGATTTATCCTGCTACAGTCTGGAAGAAGTGCCTGAGTATCTCTTCTACTGCCAGGACGTCACGCACCTCAACCTACGGCACAACTTCATGAGTCTGGACGGCCCTGGAGGACTCATCAACTTCAACCGGTGAATTCAGCTTTAGATGCAGTTGTTATGCTTATTAGAGCATCTTACTGTTCAGTGAGGTTTCGTGATGGTCTGTCTGCTGTATTTAGATTGTGGACAGAATAGCAGGAGAACAGAGCAATCATTTCTGTTTTCCTGCTACAGTAGGTGTGCTTTAGAAAAACCTTTGCTTGAATGCTCTTTACATAATCACAAACGTGTGCATATATTCAGGCTGTTGTTTCCGCTGGGATGTGGTCTCTCGCTGTGCTGCCATGCGCACAGACTCAAAGTAAATGGTAGAAGAGCTGTTTATTCTGTGCATGCACTTATGACAATGACAGCCACTTCTGTGCAAACACAAGCAATAAGAGCATCATTAAGTGGGAACTTACAGAGGGGTGATGCTATCACACGTTAACTATGATTAGTAGTATTTAAATCGGTACGGTTATCGTTATAGGAGTTAAATCGGTACGGTTATCATTATATGAGTACACAGCAGTAATAAACAGGCCATGTGTATTTCTCTATGCAAAACAAAAATGTCCAGGTCATGTTTCACCCTGAAATCAAGAGATAAAAGGTATAAGAAGCCTAAATTGTCCCTATTTTTTAAAATCAATAAGCCCACCACCCCCCACAAAAAAAAACTAATTACTGTAATGAACCATACTGTTTTTTTTAATTAAAATAAATTGAAATCAGTACAATAGTTACAACAATTTTATGTAAATACAGTGGTACAGAATGATGTAATTGACTATTTCAATAGACTGTGAGAATAAACTGGGTAGTAGGTAGGCTTTTAAAGTTGCCATGAAATGGAAATTGTGAAATAAAATGTTCATTTATCTTGAAGTACTAAAGCAACTAAAACTAAAAATAAAACTATTTAGACATATTAAAAAAAATGTCAAACACAACTATATAGTTGAAACTTTAAAAATTTAAGTGAAAATATTAAAAGTAAAATCTAATTCACTATATATAT